ATGCTAAAGCACATAATATTTCTGAATAATATAAACTAAAATACGTTCGTTGTTTAAATACAAAATGTTCAAAATTTGGAATTGACTTCATTCAAATGCTCAATTTTAAACTTAAACGCTAAGTATATGTGTGCCTGTATATCTGTATGTGTGCGTGGGTGAGTTCATTGTAACGAAAAGGCTAACTAGCTTATGACTTATGATCTAAAGAAAGTCAGCATTTGGATTTCAGGCCGTGTCATTGTATGAATTCATTCATTGATTTTGAATCGCTCTTGCAGTTTCAAATCGTTTTTACTATAACTGATCTGCACAGTAATAAAGTGAATAGAAATGACCTCACAGCCGATCAGCAACGGTGCAAGGGAGGAGAAAGTTGGTGACGAGAAGGCTGAACCGTGCGCTGAGGACGACGAAGACTGTTGACATGATGGGATCGGCAAGTAATTAATGCCACCCACAGGAAAAGATGGTACTGCGCCACATTCCAGCGAGATGCTACCGACTTCCATAATACTTACTGCACGTTACCGTACTTTGGTCACGTAGCCAGGAAATTTTCTTTTGGCCAGAATTCCCTTAAGACGAGTAATTCAGTGTTACTTACTGTGACACCATAACGGCATCGTTCTCAAAATGCAGAAATGATTCCTAAAATGGATCAACACGAAGAGGGAAGAATACCAACGTCGATTTCCTCAAACGCACTATAACGAAGTAAAACCTTCCAACTTCATTAATTTCCCCATGAAATTATTACATTCCCAAGAAAATAAATTTGAAAAGCCAATTCAGGTATTAAAGATTTAATGATTGCGAAGATGAAAAGCAGTTTTTCTAGCGTAACAGTTCTATTATTCCCCCTCTTTCACCAATACCATAAATATCAAGCAATCAGTCTTGCTGATCCAAAGATCTGATCTTATCCTAGAAGCTTGAGACATTGATTATTTTCAAAGACATTTTCCTATTTTACACGAAGCTAAAATGAATTAATTTCTTCTCAAATTCACTTTTCACCTGAAAAAGCTATACAGTATGTCAAGCAAGAACTGGTTTTTCCACTCGAAACATAAAAATTGATCCGGTGCAGGGAGTAGTAGCTTTATGAGAAGATACTGTGTTCCGATCTTGATGGCCATAAATGAAAAACTCTTTCATTCTTACTTTTTTCACCCCAGTCAAAAAATAACCTCGAAGAACGACTTTCGAGCTTATACCACAGCAATGTACCACTCTGCTATAAAAACATGTAAACCGATACTTCGGCACATGAAAAAGTACACAGTGGAGCGCAAATCTTAGCTGCCTTTTCTATCTGATATAATTTTTTTTGTCGCTAAAAAATAGCTTTCTGCATAACTTAAATGTGGCATCACAAAGGACTTTGAAATCATTCCTTTAATTGAGTTTCCGCCATCATCCACCTCAACAAGCGAATAGATAAAAGTCGTAAATATCTTTCCTTTGTTTCTCCTTCAGTAGCAATTGATGCGACTGAAATGAAGAGGAATGGAATGGCTTCATATGGACTGAATGACTTGCTTAGACAATTTAGGCCAGTAAAAAATGGAAGCAGCTAGGATATCATTCATAAATATAGGCCCCATCAAGATCTATCATAACAAAACTGTTCTATTATATTAACTTTATGCATATAAAGTTTAGTATAAAAATTTCATCTATGTCTACAAATATATTCAAACATATACATATGTATATATTTTTTGAATATATTTATAGGTATAAGTAAATGAGATTTAATTAACTCAATCTGAAATGTTATCGTATTGTATGAAAAATATGACAACATTTTAATGAAATATCATAAAAAATGTTCTATGTAAAGGTATTATTTCCGTGTTGCTGGAGAGATGAAAATTGAAATGCTGAATTTTTGCTGCAGAAAAAGAGAAAGAAAAAAAAGCACAATCTTGTTCTTGGAAATCAATTCTATTCATTAATGAAATCATTTAGAAAAGGCGGAATATTCCAGAATTAAAAGGGAATAATTTTGTGAAACACATGAAGAATGGAAAGAAAATAAAAATGGCAGGAAATAAAAGATCAAAAAAAAAACGGAATTAAAAAAGATAAGATAGGAATGCACTGGAATCATTGGTGAAGTGAAGCAGTGATATAATACAGAATAGAATTAGATGAGTGGAATTATCAACAAAGTAACCTTTTAGAAAAGGTAAAGAAATGAGAGAATAATGGAAAAGGTTGGTTTAATATCGTTGGTTTGTAGATGACAGGCATTTCATTAGCAATTTAAGGAATAGTTGAAGATGCATTCGTAAGACGGGGAGGTTTTTTTTGTCAAAAGAAAAGTTTTTACCTTTCGTTCGTGGGCGGTCGATTACAGACAGCTGATCGACACATGGAGAGGAGAAAGTCACTGATAGACTGTTTAACAAATCAGTTTTCAGCTCAAACACTATTTATCTGCAAATGCACATACTGCCTTTTTTGTTTTTATATGCATAAAAAAAGAAAGGAAGAGACAAATACAATAGTATAAAATGAATGGAAGGACTGTTTGGGAGGAAAGAAAGGAATTTTCTTAAGTTTCACCAACAAAGAAATATTTGGGAAAAAGAAATAAAATTTATTTCATCAATTTGCACCTCTTTTCCTATACTTTAACAAATATCCGTACATAGATTAATGGTACAAAAAAACAGTACAATTGTTTTTGTTTGTTACATCTACTCAAACAGTTTCATTCAATTCAATTCTTAATACGCGGTTTAAAAGTAATAATATTGCTGAAGAAAAAGTTTCATGCTTTCTATGAAATCCAAATCATGAATATCACAATCATTTAGTTCATAATAGAATGATGAAATTTTTCAAAAAAAGTAGTTTGCGTGAAAAGAATATAAAAATTAAAAAAAAGTAGTTTGCGTGAAAAGAATATAAATACGATATGTATCATATACTTTCTGAAAAGAAATAAACAAATGTATTCTTTTTTTCGTGTACATGTATTATTTTTAAATTAATCGTGCTCTATTGAAGTTAACCTTTAATGAAATAATTACAGTTTGATATTTATTATTAAGGTACACACAAAGTAAACATATATGCAGGACAAACATCAATATATGTCACGAACTAATATAGTGACATTTTAACAATTACTAAATAACATTTTTTTACTAACTTTTACATTATTACCGTAATCTTAGTATGATTATTTATGGATATGATGTAGAAGATAACGATAGCATAGAGTTGACTTTATTGACGGAGAAATATGAGAAATCGAAATTTGTGGAACAGCGATAACCAATATTTCCAAAAAGTTTGAAAAATGGAAATCCATTCCTTAGAACCAATCATGTAATTGAAACAAATTACATACCTTTACATCAAATGTGAAGGCATGTAATTTGCCTGATTGTAACTTTTCTCATCAAGAAAATGTGAAAAATTTCTCTCATTAAAAAGTTATGCTTCGCTTAGAGATGTCTGAAATTGCCATTTGGGGTACCTTTAATGAGACCATTTCACATCTTTCCTCTATTTTAATGGAACACTATTCAAACTTCAATTTTAGATGATCCTTTTAAAGGCAGCAGAAGTTCTGCTTTTATCTATATTTTTGCATACAAACTTAACATTCTAAAATCCAGAATAGAAATAATCCTAAAATTGAAGGAAGAAGTATAGCTGACGATTAAATTTGAAAAATCTGAAGATATATTGTTAATTAAAGGAAGACGGAAGAAAAGGACAAGGATTGCAATGATACCTTTTCCTTTGAAAGACTGTGAACGTGGACGACATGAAGAAAAAAAAAGCTACTGCTGGAAAATGTCACCTTGTCCTCTAAATGTCTCCTGTCCCCTTTCTGGTCATTTTTTCCCCTCTCAGAAAAAGAGGGAGAGAGAGAGAGAGAGATAAAAACATGAGATTCGACGGGAAAAAAAGAGAAAAATGATGTAAAAAAGTGCAACAAAACAGCATGACTGTGACGTCGTTTTTCTAGTTCCTTTTTTCTTGTCTTTTTTTATTTCCTAAGGAGACAGATAGACTAGACTCACTCTCAGCATGCTCCGTTTAAACTCACTCCCGACTAGTTGAGGCTGTCTGCAAAATGTGTTTAATATTTCCAAAAAAAAGAACCATGAAAGGCATGATTAGAAAAATATTTTTCTTCTACTAAATTCCTTTCTCAACACCCTAACTGATCATTTCCGAAAATCTTTCCATCCCTGATTAATGAAACTTTTTCTAACATCTTTACATTATAAGTTCATGTTTGAATTCATGGCTCAGATTTCGGAAATAGTGAGTTTTTGATTCCTTTCTCTATCACGACTAGGAAGATGAACAAGTCAGTTATGAAGTAATCAGCTTATCGGATTAGTTCTCCTTTATCAATTTCATGTACAAACAACATGAAATTTTGATTTACAATTGTCAGAAGCTATTTAATCTTTGATGTGATCAGGATGATTATTCTCGAAGTAGTAAGCTGATAAAGAAGTGATATGCACTGTTACTGCTACCATTAATGAATACGTGAACGAATTGAGCAAATGAAAAGTAACGATTTGTCGTCTCTATTTTTTGCTATCATTTATTATTTGGAAAGATAACGGCGCTGGCAATTAGAAAAACCGTTAGATAAGTACATCGCTGTCGCTGTGAGATTTTGCAAAAAAAAGAAAAAATCCATTTTTAGGGTTTCGGTTTAACACATAAGAATTAAATCTTCAAAAAACAAATTACTGGCAACTGAAAAGAAACTAATGCCGACAAATTGAACTGTAATGGATTGATTTCACAAGGAATCTATAAATTAATCAAAGAGCTGGGTGAAATCCAATTAACTGATAAAATTACGTAATCGATCGATTAATTAATAAGGAACATTTGAAAAAAAGCTTTAGGATACTACAATTGGCTGCAATACTGCAAATGGATAGATAGAGAGTTTTACCTTCGGCAAAAATCTTACTTGCAAAGGTAATGCTACTGTTACCGACACTTTCATTCCACCTTTGGGTAATCGATTCATTTGCAACAGCTACTGGCAATAATTGCTTTCAACCGAGATGACTAATGAGAAGGGCAAATAAAAATGCACAATTTAATGTTAAATCACCTATTTTTGCAATTACCGAAATGTGATCAATTATAAGTTGCCGATCGGAAAAGCACAAAAAAAAGTCATTGCAACATCTGCAATGTACAAGAGGTACAAATAACTTGAATGGCCTACATGTTATTTGCATATTTGATAAACTAAAGTTACAGGTAATCATCAATTTGGTTTCAAAAAAGAACCAAAAGCAAAGGCTGTCAATCCATGCAGGCCTATCATTTTACAGCTTCTTTCAAACCACAGGTACAAAAATATGATGAAGTAAACTAATATCTTCCTTCTCTGAATTACCTGTAAAATAGGGGAGCAATGTGAAAAAATGTCAAAACTGAGAGTAAAAGATTAGAGTAAGACTAACATACGTATAATCTTCTGCTTACAATTATGGAGAGGAAGAAGGATCGTCTACTACCGGAACACCAAGCATATCTCTGACAAAATTTCAACAAACTTCACTCTTTTGCACCATCAACAGATATTTGAAGTAATTGCAGTAGAAAAGATTCC